TTCAAAGCACACATTTCAGCCCGAAAAGAGGACTGATCTTCGCTGTCATTGCCGCCAAAGAAAGCACGATCGCACTTGTTGACAACGACCGAATGAGCCGCGATGCCATCCTTGGCAGACCCATCTGTGGCAAGCACAATGGTCTGCGACATGGTCAGCTCTTCCCTAATCGTGTCAGCGATCTCTTCAACAAGACCTGCCTCATCCACCGCAGGGGGCGGAAGAGGTTGCTCACGCAAGTGTTTAGACAACAATCTTTCTTCTCCACGGTGCGTTGGCGGGTCAAGATCTTTGCGAATGTCCTCTGTGCTTGGGCAGGCCCACAGCAAATGGGCCCTGCTCGGTCGGGAGGCTCCACAGAGGCATCGCGTTCGGTTGTGCAGGGCCGTAGCTGGGGCCGCCTTGTTAAAGAACCAAGTAGTGCCACCTGAAAGGAAAGCCGCTCTGCGATGATACATCGAAGACTGGTCTGCCAACACAGCTTTATGCCCTTGGAACTGAACACGAAAGGGTTGCGGTGGTGCTGGCAGGTCCAGCCCCTGAGCCAGGTCAGGTTCCGGCGGCCTGTGAAGACTATGTGTAACCCGCTTGCAGCGCCGAAGAAACTGATCACGGTAAAAATCCTCCAGCCAAACCCTGAACAAAGCAAAGCTCTCAAACCCAATGCAGATTTTCCGAAGTCCACCTTGAGCATCACGTCTGCAAAAGGCGTCAGCCCCTTCGCTCAGCCACCAACCCGTGCGGGCCAACAGCTCCTGGAGTTGAGGAAGACACGCGAGCCACCTATGTGGGTTCGAGGTGATTGGAAGCATCTCCTGCCATACAGGGGGTTTTGCAATCCACCGCCACGCGAGCCGACATAACCCAAGATCAAGCGCGAAATTCGGTTCTAATCCCCATCCAAGCAGCTCAAAGAAGGCTACGGTGGCAGTATCGCCACCATAACCTCCACTAAACAAGAACCTGACTTCAGCACGAACAGCCTCCAGGTCAGCACGAGAGGGCTGAGCGAAGCCCGAGGCCCAGGCCAAGCACGGCATGATGAGGGCCCTCACCAAGTTGATTCGAGCTCTGGTCGAAGCTTGGGCCCAACGTAGCAATCTTAAGCGGAGAACCGCCTTTCTCAAAGAAAACTTGGGAATGGTGCCTTTGCCCTCAAAGTCAAAGCACACACCCAACAATTCAAGATGCGAGCACGTTGAAAAACCCCATCGGTCTGCGAGCTGGGCCGTTTGCGCACTCGGCCGGCTCGAGGCAATGAAGCATTTATCAGGCGAGAGGCTCAGCGAAAAGGCAGCATCAAAAGTTGCACTTGCACTTATCGCTCGTTCAAGGTCCTGGCAAGATCCCGAAGGTTCCAGCATCAAAGTACGGTCATCCATGAAAATCTGCACACATATGTTGTTGCAAGAGGCCTTAATGTACTCACTCCAACAATGCGACAAGGCTGCAGCAGCGATGGGACTGAGTGGGCAGCCCTGTGCAATACCGGAGTGCACCACATGATACTCTGGGTCAAACGAACCTTCAAAGCAGAAGTACCTAAAGGCTCCAGAGTAGAAAGACTCCATGAGGGGAGCCAACTGCACCGGTGCACCCAAATGAGCAAAAACCTTCTTCAACATCTTGGCATTCATGGCATCGAAGTAACCTGCCACGTCCATCAAAGCAGCAGTTGTCATGCCACGATTGAGAGCAGCCTGGACTTGAAAGAGGACGTCACTGATGGAACGTCCCGGGAGGCCACCGTGATCACTCTCAGAAGCCCACTCGGGCGCCCATTGACGCAATGCACGGGCGACAAATTTGGCCCCAATGCGCCACATGATTTGCGTCAGAGTTATGGGCCTGGTGGTGGGCCCACCCTTTTTCCGAATGAGTGTCACCTTAGCAAACTTCCAAAGCTTAGGGACAGAAGCC